TTTATTTATCCTTTCATCATGATTTATATTATCATAAATATATGATAATAATAATAATAATAATAATAATAATAATAATAATAATAATAATAATAATAATAATAACAATAATAATAATAATCATCATCATCGAATTTCGAGCCTTATCCTAAGGATTTGAGGTTGGCTACATAAATCTCGTTTTGCTATTTTGCTTTATCAAAGTTCATATCCTCAATCAGCTCATAAGTCACCATATATCTTTTGGCTACTTCCATCCATATCCTTTCGAACCTTCCCCTTGCTGTTTTAGAGCCTTCTACTTGAACCAAATTGCCCCTCTTAACTGGTGTCGTATTATTATAAACATAATCAATGATTATTATTATAAATATAATACATATCATATTTGTAATTTCTAATATAATGATCATAAATATTTGTACAATACTATAGTGTAATTATAATTATACAATTGTAAATATCATTGATCCTAAATTATTTTTATTACAATATTATTATCATAATAATAATTAAATTTTTGTAATATGTTATAAAAAATTGTCATATTAAAACTAAAATTTTAATACTATAACTAATGTTGATTTCATATACAAATGTATATAGAAATGTGATTTTTCATATATAATATTTAAATAAATATCGTTATTATAAAATGATAGTTATACAATAATTACATTATTGTATAATATTTTTATTACAATAAACTAATACAAATATAATTACAATTAAATAATTTGTAATTATAATTTAACTTCATATTAATATTAACATATGTCAATGACATATTACTATCTGTTATTGTTACAATAATAACAATAATAATCAAATTATAATATTTGAATACATAGCGTAATCATAATTTAAAATTGTATTTATAAATAATATACAATATTTTTACTTATTTTTCTAAATTTTTTATTTTTTATTTTTTATAGTAATGCTTTCAATATAATAATATTATTTATAATTATTAGTTTATTAAATATAACTATATGTATTATAATATTATTAACAATTTATTAAAACTCTAATCAAATATTAATATTATTAATGCGATTTCATAAAGAGAGAGAATTAGTTGGGAAAAGGCTTTGACAATGATGTGTATAATCATTGGAAATAATAGAATCTAGTTTTGTGTCAATAATAGTTTCGCATTCACATGATGAACACCCAAATAGGTGCATGTTACTAATATATATATAGATATATATTTCATTGGAAATTTGATGTTGATGATGATGATGATTTCAGTGAGACTTGTGAATTAGGTGCATGTTACAAATATAATTATGATAATAGTATTTTAATAAAAATAATTTAGGAACAATAATATTTACAATTCTATAATTATAATTACACTATAGTATTTTACAAATATTTATCATCATTATATTAATAATTATAAATACGATGTGTGCTATATTTATAATGATAATAATAATCATTGATTATTTTTATATTAATACGACACCGGTTAGGAGGTACAATTTGGTTCAAGTGGAAGGCTCTAAAGGGGCAAAGAGAATGCCAAAAAGAACATGGATGGAAGTGGTGAGAAAAGATTTAGTGACTTATGGTCTTATTGAGGATATGACCCTTGATAGAGGAGAATAGTGGAACAAGATTTTTGTAGCTGACCCCAAATAGTTGGGATAAGGCTCGGATGATGATGGTAATGATTTAATTAATCATACAAAATTGTAAATCTAAAACCCTGCTATCTCATTTTTGCATTCTTGTATACAATTGATGATTAACTAGAGTAATTCTTTCATAAAAAAAAAAAAAAAATGGGCTAATTTTTCATTTTTGAATGTAGCAGGCAAAAGTTTTTGCTTTTATTACTAGTTATTTGAGTAGTGTCTTCATATAGAGCTACTGGTGTTTTCTTGTTTCCTAGTACTCACAAAGTTTGTGTGCTCTTTGTTTTCTATTGCTAGATTTATCTCTTTGGTATTATTCATGTCATAAGAAATGATCTTTGTTTTTCTTGAAATCCTTGATGAAAATTCAACCGTAAGTGTTTAGGGAAGTGATCTTTTAGGAAGTTCCTTTAATTTGGTTATGCAGGGGTTCATTACCCAATCATCAGATTACAAATTTGAAGGTTGTAGGATGGCTGTTCCTGAGTACTGGGATGCTAGTGTACAATGGGAATGATTGGTCAAATTTCTAATCTGGTGGTTGTGGAGGGAACTCCCTACATTACAAACTAAAATGGATGTCCTACACGATTATTTCCCTAGATGTTAAGCTGGTAGATTGATTGGTTCTTAGAGATAGGACTCCAAATTTTGGGAGATTATGGAGGCTGAACCATCTTAGTTTCAACAGTTATAATTATGCATTTAACAACAAACTATGTTGTCAGTTGTTATTGAGCTTATTGAACTTCCAAAACCTTGTATAATACTGTATAGGAGGAGAGAACTTAAAATTGCTAGTGAAGGTGTGACATTCATGGTTTCCCTTTTCCTAATTTGCTTGTTACTGCATGGTTTCTGTCCTGTTTCTGAACTGATTCTTCAGATAATTCTGGATAATAGACTTCACTTTCTACCAGTATGGTACTCACTTATGAAAATACCAGCATAGGCACCTATTTATTTCAGGATGATATTTCTTTTATCACTGCAGATAAATGTTTTATTTGCAGATTCTTCTAACACACATTTCGGACAAGGCCAAAGAGGTGACCTGTTCAATCAGTTTCCTTAACTGGCTAAACAGTTAGCAAGTTCTAGGTCACCGGACTCAAATTTGTTGTGGGGAAGGCACTGCATATGAAAATTTTATATGCATTATCTACATAAAGTATGATCTCTTATTTCTGTCATAGAATTTGTAATTTTGGATGCTATGTTCTTATTTATTTACTTAGTTTTCAACAGCATTCCGTGACTTGACTGACTCCACTTGGAGATGGGCAAGTTGTTCGGACTCGTCCTGTGGGTGAGGCCAAGTAGGGGCGAGTTCCACGGCAACTAATGCTACCTTTATTAAGGATGGAAAGAATATAAAAAATAGAAAAATGTAAAAAATTTAGAAAACACCATTAAATTACTTACAATTTGGATTTTGATATTTTTTAAGGTAATTTGGGAACTTTCATTTTTTCCCCTTTTTCTAAAATTTTCAGAAATATTCAATATCTATATTTAAAATTTTATTTACCCAATTTTTTTTAATTTTGTTTCAATAATCCATCTTTTGCAGAGTTTTTTCATCTTTTAGACCTCTAATGACTCTCTACTACTCTCTTATGTTTTTTCTTATTTTTAACTATATTTAATTTTTAATTTTTAACTTTTTGCTGCCTTCTTTTTGGGTTGTGCAGGACTTGGTCAAGTCCAATGCCATTTGGCTCAGTCAAGGGCCAAGGGCCGAGTGAAGTTTCTGAACACTGGTTTTCAAATTTTGAATTACAATGTGCCTGTTTGTTCATATTTTCTGCAGACTAACTCTTATGCTTACGTTTTTGCATTCAAGTTGTTGGATCTCTCTTTACACATCATCAGAAATGTGTGCTTGCTGATACACAATAATCAGGGAATACTGTAGAAGTTACAGCCTTCGTAGGTGGTCTCTATTAATGCAATAGCTATTTATGAGACCCCTGAGCATCAGCTATTTGATGCTCATGACATTCTGTTTATAGATGATTTTCACTACCATGTAGTCCAAGATGGTGTTTGGGTTCTTATAGCTACTCACCAAAGTCTTTGAACCTTTTCTTTTTATCAATGTTTTACTTGACATGTTGCCTGCTTCTCTTGGTTCTGAGCAATGTTTTGAAACTCTAATTTGCCTGTTGGGCTTGCCAGGTGCCCAGTTGAAAAAAATGATAAAAACTGGGGGTCCTTAAACTCTAATGTAGGGTTTTATATAATTTTTCCTATATTTTTCCAGTTTGATCGTGGGGAAGATATTGTGGGGCCACCACCCGAATGTACTGTGTCTTTATTATTATTATTATTATTTAACAAATGCTGTAGTCATGGCACATGTTGGAACCCCGGTTACCACGGTAAATGGCCCACCATGAAAAGTTAGTTATTAAACAGCCGAACAATGAACATTCTATAAACCATCATCTTCTTAATCAGTAAAAGTTGCAGTCCACTCATCTTAGGGCCAAAAAAAAAATGGAAACAGAAACAGAGTCGAGACCAAAATCTTGGAGTAAAAGGAAAACATCATTACGGATCCCAAAACCCAAAAAAAAAAAAAATCCAAAAATGGGGTACCTCCTAGCACTGCCAATATCCCGCCCAATTTGTATGACAATAATGAGTAACAATTACTCTCAGTTGGAAGCAGCAGCAGGGAGGTCCTTGATCCATGGATCCAGTGGCTTCCCCACTGAGTAAACAATGAATCGAATATTCCTCAGCTTCTCAGGGTTCACCACGTTCCTCCCATCAAATATGAAGGCTGGCTTCTCCATTTTCTTGTAAATCCTCTCATAATCCAAAGTTTTGAACTCATCCCACTCAGTGAGAATGCACAGCCCATGTGCCCCTTCGGCGGCTGTGTAGGCGTCCGGTGCCATGCTCACCTGCTTTGATGCAGACGGGCTGCTAGGCACCAGGTGCTGCGGGTGGTCCCAATCGAACTTGTTTGTCGCCAGGTCCCGCCGTATCTGCTCCTCTAACACCCGTGGATCATATATGCTCAGCTGTGCCCTGTCACCAAGGAGCCCGAGGCACACGTCGATTGCAGGTGTCTCCCGGGTGTCACTAGTGTCCTTCTTGAATGCAAACCCGAGGATTGCGATCTTCTTGCCAGACACGGTGTTGAACATTGAGGAGACAACCCGGTTCACAAACAGGCTCTTCTGATCGTCGTTGATGTGGACCGCTTGCTTCCAGTAGTTGGCGACCTCGGTGAGGCCGTTGCACTCATAGATGTACACGAGGTTGAGGATGTCCTTCTGGAAGCACGACCCACCAAAAGCGACACCTGCATCCAGGAAGTGGGGGCCAATGCGGGAATCCCTCCCCACCGCGTATGCCACCTCTGAGACATCGGCGCCTGTGGCCTCACACAGGGCTGACAGCGCGTTGATCGACGAGATGCGCTGTCCAAGGAAAGCATTCGCGGCGAGCTTTGACAGCTCGGCAGACCACAGGCTCATCGTCAAGATCCGGTCCTCAGGCACCCAGCGCGCATACATGCTCTTGAGGGTAGTGATAGCATGCTGACCATTGACCGTGTTGCCCTGCCCACCTATAAGGACTCAGTCGGGGGCAGCCAAGTCCTGGACCGCTGTGTCCTCCGCAAGGAACTCAGGGTTTGACACAATGTCAAACCTCAGGCCTCTTGAATTGTGGGTGAGGATCTTCTCAATGGCCTCTGCCGTCTTGACAGGGACTGTTGACTTCTCAACGACGATCTTGTCAGAGGTGGACACATTGGCAATCATGCGTGCAGCAGACTCCCAATAGGTGAGGTTGGCGGCCTTACCGGCGCCAAGGCCACGGGTCTTGGTCGGGGTATTGACGGAGACAAAGATGATCTGGGCATCAGCAACGTGGGCCTCAACGTCAGAGCTGAAGAAGAGATTGCGGCCTCGGCGGGACCTGATGACTTCATTGAGGCCTGGCTCAAAGATGGGGAGGCAGTCACTGTTCCAAGCATTGATGCGCGAGACAGAGATGTCAACGACGACAACCTCAATGTCTGGGCACTTGCATGCTATCATCGCCATCGTCGGCCCACCCACATAGCCGGCACCAATGCAGCAGATCTTCATCTTCTCTCTACCTCTGATTCTCTCTCTACTCTTTCCTATGTCTCTGCCTCTTTAGGTGTTTTGTGTTGCTAGTGGGGCGTATGAGGAATGAAGGTGGAGGGAAGAGGATATGTTGAGGTGGCATTGATTTTGGTGTCTGTTCGGAAGGTGGTGGGAGAGAGAGGTCTCCAGTCTGTAGTCCTCCTACTCCTGAGTCCACATAGGGGGCAAATCGCTAACGGGCACCGGTTTTGAAAATGGGATTGAAATGACCCTCATTTTTAAGGTTAAAAGACGTTTTCTCTCCTCCCCAAAAGCCTTAATCTTAAAATTTTATATAGAGATCCGCAAACAGAAGCGAGAGAATTTTCTCTGGGATTGGATACAATGAGACCGTAACATTTTGGAAGCGAGAGAATTTTCTCTGGGATTGGATACAATGAGACCGTAACATTTTGAAAGCTAAGTTCATGAATGCCTCGGATTTCAAATTGGAGAGCTGGGTGTGGTGTCTTACTTTCTTGTATAAATTCGACTTTGAATGCATTCAATGAGACACTTTAGGCGGTGGATATCTGATGGATTGTAATTTTTCTCTCGTGCATTAAATGTATACTATGCGGCCTCTAATGCCAGCAAAAGTGTCTATTAGAGTGGAAAGAGTGTTTGCCAGTTTGTTTCTTTTTTTTCTTTTTCCTTCCCATTTGTGCATTTAATGGAATTTCCAGGTCGCATTCACAAACAAGTTAAAATGAGAATCAAAGATGCCAACTTTCCTACTTCCATCCTTTTATCCTTCTCACGCAAATTCGGTAAGAGGACAGGTGATCCTATAGGAGCATATTATACAGTTATTCCCTCCAGAAAAAAGTATTTAGGATATTATTATGTTATAGAGATTTAAGATTCATTTTAAAACTACCATATATTATTTTCAGAAATTAAAAAAAAAAAAGGGTTCCAAACACAATTTTAGGACAGTTTTTTTTTTATGCAAATATGCTTATAAAGTTTATAGTATTTTTGTATTTTATTATTATTATTATTATTATTATAATGTAGGCTTTCAAGCAAGGTGGTGAATGAACAGTGTGAACCTGCACAAGCATGTGATCTTTTGGCTTCTCAATGCCGCTCCGGACCGCACCAAACCAAATCAACGCGGTTTGACAAGTAGCTGTCTTGCTGCTTGTTCTTGCCGTAGGGGTGGCAAGCGGCCAGATCTGGACATGGACCCAAAATAAAAAAACATATGTATATTTAAATCTTTAATTATACTTATTCAAAAATTATTAAAATATTATATATTAACAATATTTTGGTCCCTATTCGGATCTATATAGACCTGGATCTGGATCCGAATAATGTTTAGGTCCAAAATTTGGATATGGACCCGACCTGCCGGATCCTATCTTTGACCATACCTCGACCCAAGTTGGGTTCGGTCATCGGGTCCAGGTCCATTGCCACCCCTAACATGCTCATATCTTTCTTCTTCATTCTTCTTCTTCCTTTCTCTTCTTTTTTTTTTTTTGTTATATGTTTTAACCGATTCTTCATGTCCAATCTTAGTGGGTGGTTAAACTAAAGCCCAATTCCAAGTTTTAAAACACTGACCTTAGAATAGGGGTGGCAACGGGTCTGATCGGATCCAAGTCCGACACATAAAAAAATTTATGAGACCTGACCAGACCCGACCGGACCCAACATACAAATAGAAAAAAAATACATATATTCTCTAAATATTATAACTGAGAATATATAATTATATTTATTTAAATATTATTAAAATATAATATATTAAATATTATTTAAATAATAATATTATTTGGATAAGGTCAACATGGATTCAAACCCGACATGGATTCAAACCCGACCTGCCGGGTCTAATTTTTTGATAGATACCGGGACCTGGGTTGGGTCCACATGAACTTGGACTCCCCCTTTCTTTCTTTTTTTACAATATTCCATTTGTTTTTTTTATTGTAAATCATTGCAAGGTAATCAAGCAATAAGATTGTCTGATACAATCAACGATTGAAAGGAAACACCTCTCTTTGCTAAAGAATCGTCCACATCGTTGCCCTCTCAACGGATACACCTAAACGAGATAGACAATTCACATGTTTAAGTACATGATCTCCAGTGAAATTGATATTAATCTCCATGGTGTTTTTGAAGTAGCATTACATCAACTGATTGCATTCAAAGAATCGCCTTCAACAACACATGGTATATGGATATTCCGCTCCTTGATAATTTTAAGGTCTTGAAAAATTACTAACATTTCCACTTCATTTGTCGTATATCTAGCATCCCGTGGAATTT